TGTTTTATAAAGAATAAAAAACAAATATTCGAAGAGGTTATGTTCTTTATTTTTTATTAGTTAGAAAAATGTCCAATCAAATTAATTTGAAATCATCTGAATTAAACCAATTGATAATAAATAAAGGCGCATATATAGATTTTGTTTTTGATTATGTATTCAATATTGAGACTTGGTATGTTCTACTTTGTTTTCTTTTTTATTTATTTTTATAATTAGAAGATTTTATAGTCTTGGAAATTTGTTTTAGTTTCTCGTCCATCGACAATATCATGTATTCGTCATTTAAAAATGAATACAAGAATGCCACGTTCACGACCAGATTTACTTCGATTTATAGAAGATATTACATTACCTGTACTTGAAAAACCATTACCAGATCCTGTTGAAGATTGTTATCGAGAACAAATAAAAAATAAAATTCTTCTTGATCAAGAAGATATTGAACTTGTATGAATATTATTTTCTATTTTAAATTATTTCTTCATATTGGATATTCTTTATATTGAAATTTGATCGAAATATGAGTGTTTCACAAACTTATACCCTTACATTAGTTTTCCTATGTTTCTATAAAAAAATGTTTAACCGAGAAAAATTTACATCTATTGTGAGACAAATTTATTTTTTGATTGATTCATTTTTATATTAACATCAAAACCATAGCAGGATTTCCTGTTCGGGAATGCACGAATTCTTCATTTTTCACACTGAAGATTCTTAATGCATGGTACATATAACCGCAAATTTTTCAAGTGAGACTTATTTAATTTGTCTCGATCTATCCGATGCTACTGTTATACTTAACAAAATATGATTAAATCTTCGAGTACCAGTGTCTTTATAAAGTACGATTTTTTTGTCAAGTTTCTTTATTTTTGAATAGCTTGCAAGAGCAGAAGAAGTGGAAAAAAAACACAAAATATATAAAATGATTTTGTGTCCGAGCGAGTGTGAAATCTTCTTGACAACTTTTTTATATGTGAATGTTTTTTCCCCTTTACATGATTATGATGGACAGTAACTACGAGAGATATGTTAACATTGACGATCCTTGTCTGTCTATGTATGTTGTAATAGTGAATGTTTCTTTTCAATGAATTTCTCAAACCACACAACTAGTTAATCCTTATACTTTGAGTGAATAATTTAAAAACATTTTCGAATTTCTGGTGCAGTGTTTTAGCGAAACTAATATCCGTCGGGTGAATTATGAGTTTATTTTTGGGAGAGAATAGCGCTATTTCAGTAACTATTAAGAGCTAACACTTTGAATTCCTATCGTGGGTAGAACGAGAGTTAGAAGCTATCAGTATTTTATGACAAAAGAAATTAAACTTGTTAAATGATCAGCATTCAGTATTCACAATGATCACACAAATTTAGAAGTTCTTAGCTATTATGCTCGAGCAATGGTGTTCAATGGATAAAAAACCTGAGGGATTGGTTGAAAAATTTAGGGTTTCAGCCCATATCAATCAATTTTTACACTTTTCAGTCACCATGACTAAGTGGCTACACTGTTTGACATGTATACACAAAGTATTGCGTAAAAACCTTACTACCACCAGCCATGGAATGATCCTGAACAAGTCACTAAAGGGTATTTATCTCGGATCATCCATTTCATAGCATGCTGACTACATTGTGACATATATCTACTCTTGTGTGTAGTAATATATGATTAGTTAGTACGTATAGCAAGCTCAAGATCTTGAGCGCAAGAACTCTGCGTCTGATCGGTCGTCTGTTTAAAGCTACAGCTACTCATAGTTGTAGAGAAGATATGAGTTATTGAATCTGTCGCTATGCAGCAGTTAATACTACAAGATAGTTCTAAGATAGAGAATTTTTCTTTTTCTTACACATTTCAATCGTATTTTGACAAAAGTATTAGATTGCGTGATCAAATTTTGAGCAAGTCTCATTTGAAGAGTTATCTTTTGTGTAAAAAAATAATCAGGAATTGATGTTTCCCTAATTCCTCTCATTAAAATCTTGATTAATCAAATAAGTTTTATATGTGTTTTCGAATTGTATGAGTTTAATCTTGATATTTCTAGGCTTCGGAATATGATCAATTTCGAGCGCGACATTTTCGTGAAATACTTGAATCAAGTCGTATTGTTTTACTTTGTCAAGAAGTTTGCATTGTTCCATCAAGTAAATAGATTTTTATTAAAAATAAAAGTAAAAAGATTAAATATTGCTTTTTTTTAGTTCGATATACAATTGCAAAAATGCAATTTATGAAAAATGGATTCACATTTACAAAATTTCCACGAATAGTTCCACAGTAATTATTTAAAGAAATAAAAAAAGATAAATACAGGAGATGGACCAACAGTTACTTTACCATATAAAAAAACATTAGAATACCTCTGCCATAGTTTGACCAAATAGGCTGATTTTTGTTTTTTGACTGAGCATAAAGGAGTGTTTATATCCATGGGAGAAGGTTGGAAAGAAATGTTTTTGAAGTATCACTGTCGGTTTCAACCAAAAAATTCTACCCTCTAATATACAGTAGAAAAAAAGCCAAGGTGAGTGTAAGTGAGTATCTTGTCTTTACCCGCACCTACACCCAACCAATAGTAATACTTCAAAACGGTTTTCTGCAACTTTTTCCTCATGAATATGAACTATGAGCACTCACTTTTGGCCTATCCTATGTACATATATATATATAGATTGTTTTTGTTTTAGTTTAGCATTAGCAAATGATATTCAATATGAGAATTTTCTTCCACCAATTTTATCATTTGGTTTTGAAACAATTTATTTATTTCATAAACAGAATAATTTAGCATTAGCTTTTAAATTACTTAAAAAATACCGAAATAATTTATTATTAATAGGTAAAAACAAAAAAAAAATCTATAATGTTTTTTTTATTTTTATTTATACATAAACTTTTCAAAAATTTCAGGTGGTCTTGTTGATGGACGTTTGTATAATCGAGCTGGTCTTGAAAATTTAGCACAATTACCAAATATTGATTATTTTCAAGGTGAACTTGTTTCAATAACACAGTTACCTAGTAGTCGAACATTATCATTAGCAAATCATCCAGCTCGATTACTTAGTCATTATTTAGATACATATGTTAAATCTCAACAAACGAAAACATAATTTGTTTTTTTTATACGTTTTGTTAAGAGAAAAATAAAAAGAACATTGTTGTTTTTTTTCTTTTAAATATTATCTATTAGAATATTTTCAGATGGCTGGTTCGGCATTACGACGGTTAATTGCTGAATATAAACGTAAGAATAAAAGTTATAAATGACAAAAACACAAACATATTCGACTTGTAACTTACTATAGAATTAACAAATAATCCACCAGATGGAATTTTAGCTGGACCTATTAGTGACGAAAATTTTTTTGAATGGGAAGCACTTATTACGTTAGTATAAGACGAAAATATTTGATGGAATCGTTTTGTTTTTATTTAATTATTAGAGGACCGAGTGGTACACCATTCGAATTTGGAGTCTTTGTTACTCGTCTTCATTTTCCAAGTGATTATCCATTAAGTCCACCCAAAATGAAATTTGTTAGTGAAATTTTCCATCCAAATGGTATATTAATAGATTATATAAATATTAATGATTTATTTTTATTCTTTATTTTTTATTAGTTTATCCTGATGGAAGAGTATGTATTTCAATTTTACATGCACCTGGTGATGATCCAATGGTAAGATAATCAAAATTTACAATAGAAATATTCTTAAAGAATGTTATCATACTTAAATGTTAAATTCATTGTCGTAGAAAAGATACTTATGTTGATCAATGAGCCTAGAGTGTTTAAAAGCCAAAAAACAAAGAAGTCGAATGTAATCTGCAATATGTTCATCTACTTATTGACATGATATTAAACAAGAATGTTTTGTAGGATATTGTGTGTTCACATTTTTGTAAATTCGAACTTAGATGCGATACAAAGTAAATTTTCTAGACTGACTCTGGTTCGAATTTGTGTTTGACAAAACGCGCAGTTTTCTAATAGTAAATTTTTCTTAACTTTATATGGAAATATGTATTGCGAATTGCATTCTGCTTCTAAACATTTTTGGGCAAACATAAACAACAAAGAATTTCTCTGGTGTTGATTTGTTAAATAATAATTTACAAATTGTATTCTTAATAGATGCGCTTTCTTCTTAAAAGACATGCCTGGAAGAAATTCTATTCTCGAAAAATATTCACCAGTCACTTTTATCTGATATATTATAATAAGAAATGACTGTCTAAAACTAATTATCTGTCAACATTCTTACTAATATCCTTTTTTTCATTCATAACTGCATAGGCTAGAGTTCATTGGGTTCAACATTTATGGACCCGAGGTCGAACTTAATTAATCCAAATTTTTTGAATCAGGATAGGAACATGCGTTTTCAGTATACTGAACATTGACATCACCAACTCATTGTAGTTAGTACACACTGATCACGCTGGTACACTAGATCATACCGCTACGAAAAGGACATATTTTAAGAGAATAGGTATTTCAGTATTTGCACCAGCACTACACATTTCTGGATCGAGACTTAAACCTTCGATTGATCTCAAACTCGAATCCGCGGAGCCAATCCACTGAGCTCTAATCTAGATACTTTTTTTTTTGACAAAATATTATTTTTAGGGCTATGAAACAAGTGCTGAACGATGGAGTCCTGTACAAAGTATTGAGAAGATCTTACTTTCAGTTGTTTCTTTACTTGCTGGTAAATATATTCTAATCTTAATCTTTAACGTTTATATCTTATTTTCTCATAGAACCAAATGAAGCAAGTCCAGCAAATGTTGATGCTGCAAAAATGTTCCGAGAAAATCGTGAAAAATTTGATGAAATGGCAAAGCGTAGTGTTCGAAAAACACTTGGACTTTAATTGATCTTCATTTGTTTGTTTAGTTTTTGTTTATCTTTAATTTCTTTTCTTTTTATTCACAGTAAAGAAATTTGCAATATGATCCATGTCTTTTTAGATGATTTTTTCTCGAAATTCTTTTTTAATTATTAATTATATTTCACGTCGAGTGAGTTATTCTTTCTTTTGCTTTGTTTTGTTTTCTAAATATCATAATAAATAATATTCGTATAGTTTGTTCAAAATCTTCCACGTAATGTTCAACTTGAACTTGATCCAGATGTTAGTAAACAATTAACATCTGATAATAGAAAATTAGCGTTTTTTAAAGAACATAAAGGAAAATTTAATCATACAAGTGTCTTACCAAAACAACTTGAAGAAACAATAAATACAATTCTATCTGGTAAAATTCTGTTTTTCTTTGACGTATTCATAAAAAGAAAGTTTGATTCTTTTTTTGCATAGATATTGAACCACAACGTCTGAAAGTGGATATAAAATTACTTGCAGATCATTTAGCTGAACGACGTTTACCAATTGAACAACGTGAATTACAAACTATAGCACAAAATGTTATACAAAATTTAATAAATACAGAGCGTAAATATTTTATAGAAAGAAGGGATCGATAAATCGTTGAAATTGGCTTCTTCGAGAAATTTGATTTCTTCTATGTCAAACGATCACACAAGGTGTCTGAAAGTGAGCTTTGGTAGAATTAGTCATAAGTATATTTAACTCGACTGTTGATGATAATTGATACTTTTTATCTATCCATGTCATGAGCAACCTGACTATTTTTATATGGTTCAAAATTATTTCTCAAGCGCTTCAAAATGATATAAGAACATCGGGGAAAAAGCACTGGCAGCGCAAAGATATCCTAGGGATCCTTCTCGAGATAAAGTTTTGAGCCTTTCTTGATGGCATTCAGTAGATCTCGATATGAAAATTACAATTAGTGTGAAAAATAATATGATATACTAAATCAGCATCCCAGACTGAGTGGAGTTACGTGTATGTCATATATTTTCGCAAACTTCTCTCGTCGAGAAGTTCACTCCTGGTTTCCCTCAAGGTTGGATCAAAAAATGAATTTCATCTAAAAGGTATTTTGATAGTAAGAGCGAAGTCCTAACGTTACAAAACGATAGTAAAACTCCAAATAGCAGATGAATAAACAATAAAAGTAGAATTTTCATAATATTTACTTTATGACTCAATGCTGAGAGGAACCAGGAGTAAATATTTTGACGAAAAAAAAGGTTGCAAATATATTCGAAATATACGTAAGTCCACTCAATTTGGGATGCTGATTCAGAATATCATTCAAGTTTCCACCCAAAATCGTAATTTTTATATCGAAATCTACTGAATACCATTAAGAAAGGCTCAAAAACTTATCTTTAAAACTGTTCTTAAGATTTCTTTGTGCGATCAGTATTTTGTGCTTCGATGTTCTTATACCATTTGGAAGCACCTAAAACGTAACAAACACCTTGGTTGCTCATGAGATGGGTAGATAATAAGTGCTGATTGTCATCAACAGTCACGTTTAATGTATATGTGACAGCGATGGACTATTTCAATCGACTTGCGCACAGTGCAAACAAGTATTATATGACTAATTCTACCAGGATTTACTTTCAAACAGCCTGTGTGATTGTTTGACATAGAAGTAATTAAATTTCTCTAGGGGACCATTTTCAACAATAATCAACCCTCGCCTTCTTTTTATATTTATGTTTGTATGGTTTTTTTTTCTTTTTTTGTAAAGCACCAATAAATACGTTAGCAATGAGTCCTGAAAAACGTGAAGAATTAAATCTTAAACGACAACATGAATTAATGAAACGATTAAAATCATCAATTTATCATTGGCAACCATTGACGTAAAATTGAACATACATGTAAAAAGAAATAGAACTTATTTTATATATTTTAGCTTTGATGAATATAAATCTAAAATATATATGGCGACAAATTTTGCATCATATTATGCAATGCTCGTACAAATTTTTAATGAAGTGCGTTTATTAGTAATGGGTGATTGGAAAGTTTGTTTTATCTATTTTTATTGAAGAAAAGTGAGAGACATTTTAGAAGATCTAAAAAAGAAAATTTTAATTGTTAGTCAACAGATTTTCGTTTATTCTATAAGTCCTTTGTCGAATATGTTAAAAATTATCGGAGTCGGTCGTTCTGTGTGATATTGAACTAAGCTGTAGCTTTTATTCAACTGAAGCTGCAAGTACTTTTTTCAAAAGTTCGTATCAACGTAAAACGGTTGTCAACTCTTCAAAAATGAATTTTTAGGAAACACGAAAATTGAATTGCCTTGCCGAAAGACATAAATAAAAACTTTAAATAGTGCATTTTGTAGAGTAGTTTTTCATCTACAAGCTGATATATAGAAATAAAGATCTCAACTTTTAGTTTCGAATCACAATAGTGAAAATACAAAAATTTTCCATTCAAACTAATTTTTTGAATTTTCAAAGATTATTTCACTACTCTCGAAAAAAAAAACTTAGACAAAAATTTCAAAGTTCATATTCGAAAATAGATCAAATATTTTCTCTAAAAACTTTCCAATCACCCGTTATAAATCATATCCGTAAAAATTTATCTTCAAAAATCATCTAGATTAAAAAACGAGAACGAAATTTTCGACCTGCTCGTCTATTTGATTTCGGATCTGGTGTTGGTTCTGCTATGTGGTAAAATATATCTTTAATTCTTATTTCTTTTTTTTATTTCTTTTAATTTATCTTTAAAGGGCAGCTATGCATGTATGGGGTAAACAAACATTTGCTGAAATTCTTAATGTTGATAAATCACGTGAAATGAATGAACTATCTCAATTAATATTACAAGGTGGTCAACATAATAAAACACCAATTGTACATGGTGTTGTCTATCGACAATTTATGCCACATGGACGTGAAGTATGTTTTTACATTATATTTTTTGAATATGTGATATGTTCGGAAAAAAAAATACAATAAAGTTCGTTTTTTTTTGTTTAGAATATATTTGATCTTGTTGTTGCTGATCATACGTTATTTGAATTTGAAAATCGTTTTGAACGTTTAAAAGCTGTTCAATCATTATGGTATAATGTTAAACCTGGTGGTTTTCTAGTAAAATTTTTTTCTTTCTTTCTTTCTTTTCGAGAAAAAAATTATTTAATTCAATCATTTAGTTTAGATTCTTGTTGAACAAGGTACTATTCATGGTTATACAGCAATTATTGAAGCTCGTGAAAATCTATTACATGTAAGTTCTTGAAAACAAATTATGTAAATAACACAAAAAAAAAAGTTCAGAAACAAGTCATTTTATTTATTCCGATAGTTATCAAGTTAATAATTAGACGAAATACAAGTATAGTTCTATTGCATATAAGGAAAAGATATTAACGACGAATAAGCAGAAAGCACCTGCTTGTTTTCTATCAACAGAAAGGGCATCTATGTGATTCTATTTGAATAGGCAATAGAGTTTGTAACATGATCAACTGAGAACCTACTGTAAGAAAACTATATATAAAGAAAACATATGGAAAACAAATGAAGAAACACATTTGGTACGATATAAACTATGTAGAAAAAGGAAACGAGGTAATTGTAAGTAAATAGTATGAATCATTACAAAATACATCGACGAAACAACATCTTGAAGACTTATATATATTAACTTTAATCAACGCTATAGGATCATATGTAATTAACGCGAAATATACAATATATTACGTATTTTTTAACTTTCTATGATCTTATGATATCTTTTTAGCGTATCGCTGTTTTTGATGAAACAACGAAGAAGAATGACGATGAAATAAATAATGAAGAATCATTGACAGAACATGATGACTCATTGCTGAATCAACGATATTCTCCAGCACACATTTTTTCACCGGTATTTGTGTAAAACAAATATTGTTTGGAATATTTCCATTATCTGATGAAATTTAGTGTCCTCATGATTTAACTTGTCCAAAGAAACAGTTAAATATACCATGTCGAATAGCAACACGATATCGACCATTACAAATATTTGATCTTCAACGAGTAATGATTCTTTTTGTTTTTTTTTTTGTTTTGTTGAAGATTATTTTTGTAAATTAATTTTTTCTATTTCTTTCTCTTAGCATGTGCCTGATTATAAAACAACTGAAATGTCATATATTGTTATTAAAAAAGCCGAACGAAATAAAGATGGTAAGATACGAACAAAAAAACAAACCTTCTTGAAATCTTATAATATTTTTTAAAAGATATTTATGAAACATGGCCACGTGTTATTGAACCTATAATGGATCGTAAACATCATCAACATGTTCGACTATGTTGCCCGAATGGTGAATATGTTAATGTACCTATATCAAAAAATAAACATGGCGTGTATGTAATTTTTAGTTTTTCTTAATAATCCTTGGTGCGAAAGCCTTGACAAAAAATATTCATGATTACAGCCAGAAACAGTTAATTAGGATTAGGCCTTTTTCGTTCTTTCTGAATATGTGTTTAGGATTTCTTTCTCAGGTAAAACTGGACAATTATCATTAAACTGTTTCAAAAGGTCTAAATTAGTAGTTGTACAAGATACTATTTTGTATTTCGATTGAAACCTATCGAATTCAAAATACAAAATAGTTTTTAATCACTCAATTTACTCTACAAACCGCAATATTTACTTTTGTATGACAGATTTTTAAATAAAAGCAATTTTTGTAACAGCAATTGTTGATTTCCATAGAAACTAGCTCTTTAGTGGAAACGCATAAATGTCACTTATGGTAATATCTCATTTTGTAGAGAATTCAATGTTCTACAATAATATTGAGTTGAAGCTGTCCAAAGATACAAATTAAGGACTGCACCCAAATCGTTACAGGCACAATTTTGAACTTTTTTACAAAATTAACGGATAGTTATTCAATTTTACTTCAGAAAAAAAATCTAAATATATATTCGGAAAGAATGAAAAATTCGACATCTGACTCTAAACTATTGTCTTTCGGTGGTAGAAAAGATGAATGAATATTTTGTCCGAAGACTTTTGCAGTCTAGGTTAAGTATTATTAATTTTTTTTTTCAGTGGTCTTCATCGTTTATCACATCATGCTGAACCCGGTGATATATTTCCAGTAACTGGCGAACTTATTGAAGATAAAACTATAAATAATAAAGAAGACGTAATAACTCCTCCACAACGACGGAGACGAGCATATCGAACATAATTATTTTTGTTTTCTTTTTGTTTTGTTACATAGAGATAAGAACAATGAAATAATCTCTAATGTTACATGTTGTTATACTTTTAGATAATTTTTTTAAACAAAAAAATATATCTATAAAGAACAGTTCATAAATGGATTATCGGACACTTGTTAATGAGGATAATGATGGTACTGAAGGACAAGATCAAAGTTTATCACCATTTATACAATTTGATACCGAAGAAGATCAAAATAATAGTGAAAAACGTAAAGACAAAAAAAAGAATTTCTTTTAAGCTTTCAGTAAAAGGAATATATTTTTCTTTTTCTTTTAAAGAATCACGATGGAGTCATCAAAAAGATCTCGATGATTTTTTTGTACGTGTATATCAATATCATCAACGACATGGATTTTTTTGTATTCTACTTTCTGAAATATTTAGTCTTGTGTAAGTTACTTGAAATATATATTTTTTTCTTAAATTAAAAAAAAACAATTTTTTTCAATAGACAATTTATATTTATTGTTTCATTTACTGTTCTAATTGTTCAATGTATTGATTATCCACTTTTATTTCGTTCAACACCATCAGCTAGAAATATAACACATAAAATACATTTTAATGAAGTTATTCAATCACCTAAACAATGTCTTAGCAGGTATATTTTGCTTTTTTTTAATTAACTATAAAATTTTATTTTATATTAATTAAGTATGCATTTATTAACAACATTATGTATAATACTTTCTATAATCTATTGGCTTTATCGTTTATCACGTGCTGTATATAATCTTATTTCATATTTTAATATTCGAGCATTTTATATTCAAGCATTGGATATTAAACCGGTAAAAAGAATTGTTAAAGGACTTTGCCAGATTTGGTGATTTATCTTGAACTAGGATACTATATATGTGGTTTTCTAGAGCAATTTTACGCTACATCGAATGGTGTATAAGAAATCAAGTTTTATGAAAATATTCATGTACAGAATGTTCGTATACTGATTATAATCCTTGAGGAATACATACAATATCCATAGACATTATGATCCCTAAGATAAACTTATGAAAAATTTTTTTTAAACTCAATTCGATACAATTATAGGTATTCTTCAATTCTTTATAGTCAATAGTTTTCATTGTTGCTTTCTTCATACCTGAAAATGACTCCTTTTCTTAGGTCGAAGTTATTTATTGACTATATGATATTCCAGTGTGTTCAACTTCTTGCCACAGAACAAGTGAGCATCAACGTGAAACTTTCTCAAAAATTGTACATTGTCAACTTGCAAGATTGTCCCCTAGAATATCCCATTCTCTTATATAAAATGACCGATCTATTGATAATATTTTAGCAATACTCAACAATCCTATTAAAAACTTCTATGCACCAACAATCAGCACAATATTTCTGATGAATTGATATAAACAATTCTTTTATACACGGAAAAAATTTTCTCGATCTCTCGATCTCTGAAGGGCGGTATGGGGATATTGAAAAATCTCTTTTTGAAATGAACATGAAATATTTATAGATTCTTGTAGAATTTCGTGTAAAAATCAAACCTGTGTACTCGGAATAAAAATTTTAAAAAAGAAATTTTTTCATATCCTCATATTCGTTCTCCAGGGGTCTGGAAGCTAAGAAATTTTTTCCGTTTATAAAGAAGTTATTTATATCAATTGGTTAGAAATGCTAGGCTGATTATTGATACATAACAATTTTTCATGGGACTATTGGAGTATTGTTAAAATATCGTCAATATACTGACTCTTTCATTTTGGAAACTAGACTATTCTATGTGATAATCTTGTAAGTTGATAATGAATTCCTGTTGTTTCAAAAGATGTCATTTATGAAATATATCGAGCTCAATAGTGTGTAGTTTAAGAGCACCCACCTATAATTATATTGAATTGAGTTTAAAAAACAAAATTTTCGTAAGTTTATCTTAGGAATTATAATGTCTATGAATATCGTGTATATTCTTCAAGGATTATAATCAGTATATAAATACTCCGCATATGAACATTTCCATAAAACTTAATTTCTTATACACCGTTTGATGCATCGCATATTGTTCCACAAAACTATATGTATGGGGTTGTGGTTCAAGGTAGATCACCATATCCAGCAAGGTCCTTTGTTTTATGTTTGACGTTTTTTTCTTTGTATTGTAGAATGATCTATCAAATATGACTTGGCATGAAGTTCAACAACGTTTATTAATTGCTCAACGAACACATCATTTATGTATACATAAATTAAATTTAACAGAATTAGATATTCATAATCGATTATTACGTTTTAAAAATTATGAAGTAGCAATGGTTAATAAAGGTATTTTACCACCAAGAATACATCTACCAATATTTGGCGATATGTATGTTTCTTTATTAATATTTGTATAATAATCAGGATTTTTTGTTTATTTTGATCAATTTTAGAATTTCATTTACAACCGGTTTTAAATTTAATCTACGTTTAATATTATTTTGTAAGTAGTTCAAGTTGTCTTTGCAGATAAATTCGATTACGGATAGTTAGCTAATCGATTAATAGTCTACACTATGTGGTAAAAGTTTTTGCATAACATGTCTAGTCAAATTTCGTCCATTTATAAGTCATTGGAGAGAATCAGAATTAATCAGCTAGAAGAGAAGTTATAAGTGACATTAAAAATGTATATTTTGCTTATGTGAGGGAATCATCTGAGCTGATACCCGCCATTTAAACTCATATTAAATTCATAAGGACGTTCCATTAATAGTAGCAAAAATCTAAAAGGATTCGTCTTCATGGGTCTTCGAAACCGAGTTAAGATCGTTTTACTACATTTTTTTTATCTAACTTTAGATAAATACTGAATAATAAAAAAAAAAATTTCGATGCGAAATTTTGTCCATATGTAGATCGAGCGACCCATAGAATATCTTAAAAGTTTTAGTCGAAAAGCATATTCTTTTGTCGAGATATCAGATTTCCAAGAGATAATCATTTGCCATAGGTGTGATACAAAAATGGAGTTTACTTGAAAATGCAATATCTCAACAAACGAGTATTCTTTTCGACTGAAACTTTCAGGATATTCTGTGGATCATTAAATATATGTATAGACAAAATGTCACATTAAAATTCTGTTTTTTTGATTGTTTGATATGTACTTAATGCTTGATCGGAAATTCGGTAAAACAACCATAACTTGATTCAAACACTCCTGAGCATACATTTGGAAAAAACTTCAAATTCTCGCTTTAATTCACTGCATTTGATCCTCTTCAATAATATCTAAGTATCCAAAAAATGGCAAAATAATATTTACCAACATCTTTTTATTTTGTGTTTTATACAAACGTTATTTTTGATCGCCATCAAAGATTTTTATTCTCAATGAATTAATTTTAAACCCGAAAACAAAAAATTCTGAATATATAGTTAGAAAGAGCACGAAGTCTTGACTCTAGCTAATTACTTTTAATTCTCTCTAGTGACTTATAAGTGAATGAAGACTCTGTACGTAGGTTAATTCATACGTCATGAGTAGTTATTCAAAAGTATTTCAAATTAGAACGATCAGATTAACTTGATACATTGCTTTAATTAATATCAACAGTAAAGAAAACTTATTTTATTGTAAACATGATACCTTGAATATGAAAATTTTTCTTTGAAAATTTATTATTTATCTACTTTTTTTTTATAGATGAGAGAAAAGTCCTTTTATTTTACTATTATTTCTCATGATTATTTTCTAATATTTTTGAAAATTGAATATATTTAGGGGGTCCATATGCACCATTTGATGAACGATGGCATTTACGACAAGAATATAAAATCCATAGTCAACGTGAAAAATTATCTAAACAGTAATTTTTTTTAAATTAAATATTTATTTTTATATATTAAAATATATTTAGATTATCAAATTTTATTTTACTCTATGGTCTTGCTAATTTACTTTTATCACCATTTATATTTATTTGGCAAGTATTAAATCTATTTTATGGTTATACAGAGGTAAATCATAATGAAATCGAATGATTAAAATAGATAAACTTTTTATTTTGTTTTGTTTTATAAGCTTGTACGGCGTGAACCAGGTGTATTAGGTAGTCGTCGTTGGAGTAATTATGGTCGATTTTATTTACGACATTTTAATGAACTTGATCATTCCATTAATCAACGTCTCAATCGTGGTTATAAACCAGCTATTGGTTATATGAATTCATTTGTTAATTATAGTATTGTTGAAGCAGCAAAGTAAAAATTTTTAAAATAAGAAAGAATAAATTTAGTTTTTGCTAATTATTATTCATATGTTTTTGTTTTAGATTTATTAGCTTTACAACTGGTGCTATATTAGCTGTTTTAATCTTATTAACAATTTATGATGAAGATGTTCTTAATGTTCAACATATGTTAACACTAATGACTAGTCTTGGTGTTGTTCTTGGTGTTTGTCGATCATTAATACCTGATGAAGTAAAAAAAAAAACAAATAACAATAAAGATTTGTATTAAGAAAAAATAATTCTTTTTGTTTTTGTAATGTAGAATGCAGTCTTCGATCCCGAACAAATGTTACAACTTGTTCTTGCACAAGTTCATTATCAACCAAATTCATGGAAAGATCATGCACATACAAATTATGTTCAAGCAGAATTTGGACAAATGTTTCAATTAAAATATGTATGTTTATTGATAAGGTTTTTAAAACAATTGAAAATCATTTAGTTGGTTATGTATGAAAAGTTTGAAACAAAACTTTTTTATAAAAAAAAGTTTATCTTGTTTTATTGATGGATTTTTGATGGAATTGATGGGTTATAATTAATGACTATAAGTGAATGCTTTTGCTGTATTAGTATTGAATTGTCTTGGATATACTGTTTTAAAATTTTAAAAAAACATGTTGTGCATCAAAAATGAAATTCGATCTTGTGAGATATCAAATTTTGACTTGAAACTTTATACGTATTCAAGATTTCAAGTAGAGTATTTCACAGAAAAATTTCT